AGCTGGTGGAACTAAGCAGCCTCACTTGTTGCGATACGGACTCTCATGAAGACGTAAGAGAAAAATTGACAGCAATGGAGAAAAATCTCGTTTCATTCGCTTAACGCTTAACGCTTTTGCATTTCTAACATAGATACATTTCTCCATTTCATTTTTTGTTTTAATTTTATGTCCCAAAAAATTGCACTTATTAATATCGGCTAAAAAAATGAGAAGCGTAAAAAACCCACACAATTATTTTATACATATGTATGGTGAGATGAGACAAATAGTGTATCTGCTTAGAAATTGTTAGTTTCATACACTTTTGAGTAGCCTGATTCAAGTTAGTAAATTTTTTTGAATCAAGCCTATGGAAAGAAAATTGTATCTTTAATATCTCGCATTATCAGTATGTTCTGATGTAAAAAATAATTTAGAATTAAAATTATACCTCGACACAATTTTCTGATAATTCGATGTATTAAAAATGTTACCTTTACATAGCCTTGAATGGTAAAAATTAAATGAAAAAAAAATCCCTAACCAGATACATTATTCGTTTCATCTCACTATAGAAAATAATTGGTTCATTTTTATATGCTCATCATTATTTTTATGCTCGATATTTATAAGTGCATTTTTGTTTTTGGTAATTTTCCGTAATGCCTTCTTTATCCGTTGTAACAAAAATGTTACTACAGACTCCCCTCCGCCTCCTGGCTCGGGGTCCCATAGGCCACGGGTATTGGGTTCTATAGTTAATATTGTTAATCGAGCGTACTTAGTGTTCTAGGTTTGTTATCACTAGTCGTAAGATTCCCCCCTTTCACCCTTCCCTCCCTGTCACCATTCCCCTGTAGGCCACTGGCTCGAGGACCAACTTCGAGGACCAACAACAAGCACCAGCAACGAAGGCACCGTCGTGGACCTGCCACGAGGACACAGCACCCCTGGATGGACCGAGAGAGCGGCTACGTCGCCGAGGCAGCAGAAGGCAGGGATGGCATGGGCAGGAAAGACAGCTGATCGAGTCGCCCGTGGGATGGATGCCCAGCCACCACCATCACCACCAATATATGCAGCCCCGGTGCAGTCCCGTCACACGGGCAGGAAAAAGCCCCGTGTGACAGCGGCGGAGCTCTCTCCCTCTGAGACCGCGGATGTGCCCGGGACGATTTTGACAGGCCTGGAGGCCGCCATATTGACCGGCACGCGCAACCAGCACTCGTGCCGGCAAAGCCAGCGCCGTGCCGCCGCCACGAGGCTTTGGAAGGCCCGGCAACCCAGCCATTTGAAACGGACCAATGCCCTGCCATGCCGGAACTGCCAACCAATGCCGAAGCGCGTAGCTCTCTCAGCTGAGAAGCCACAGCCAATCCCCGAGGCCCTGGAGGCCAACCAAAGGAAACAGCGAGGACCGGAAATCGGCAAGGAATCTTTCTTCCCTCTCCGCCCTTAGCATTTGCGCCGTAGATTTTGTAGGTCCCTTCAGGACACCACGAGCCGACCCACGTGGTCCGGAATTCTTTTAGTGATTCTTTTTGTATTTGCGACGCGCCTTCCGCCCACCAACTCGAGGCCCGTGGTATATTGCGTGCGCCCTAATTTTAGTATCTTGCGCCCTTCCCCGATAACCCTCCGTACCCTCCTTCTTCCACCACCTGCCCTCCCCGCATACCATAACCGAGGTAATTTATAAAGTAGCCATTTTGCGTTCGGGAACCTTCCTCCCTGAAACCCCCCCCCTCACCTCTCCCTCCGCTAGCCAAGCCATATTCCGTCGAGTAAACAAACGAGGACCTTTCGGGGTCACTCGTCGGTGCTACGCCGTACAAGTAGCTGGCGCCCATAAATTCCCCCTCCATCCCCGAAACCTCCTTCACACCATCGAGTCCCTTTAAATTCTTCCTAGGCCGCGTGCGACCGCGCGAGCCGACTCGTGACAGGGCGTGCACTCATCTGCCGCCGTATTCTCTTCTCTTTTCTGTTCTTTTCTTTTCTGTTCTGATAGCTTTTGGTTTGACATTTATTACTGTACTTTGCTTTGTTAATTATACTCTTTTCTTATTCTACTACCACGTGTTCCCTTCTTTCTGTTTGAGACCCCCCCCGCCCGTATTTGAGATAGCTGTTTTTGCGAGACCCTGGGCCCTCCTCGTGGTCCAGTACGTCACAAGATATTGAAGCCATGTAGATTATATATATATTGTTATGATTGCTAAATCCGGAAAATCAAGCAATCGTAAATGAAGTTTGTAATATAAGGGATGATTCGTTGGTCCGGTCTACTTTTACAGTACGTCCACGTGTTAATACAAGGCCTAACGAATTTTATGAATTGGAGTTGTGATAATTTCTCAAGATATGTCTCCGCGGATCTGGAAATATTCTATTTTTAAGTGATTCTTCAGTAGGTAAATCTTTTGGTAAACTTGAAAATTCTATAGGAATCAATTTCCACGGTAAGTATTGAATAGAATTGTTTTGTTCGTTAACTTGATATTCTATTGCGACAAGATCCTTTTGGCTCGTTGGTTTTGTTTGTTTTTGAGTATATAGTTTATTTAATTGTCTGAATATTTTACATAACTGAACTTTTCTACCACTTCGTTTAGGCATAAGTCTGTACTTACTCAGATTTTGAATAAGAAGTATATTTGGAATTCCTTCAGTATCCGATCGAATCTCTAGTAGGATGTTCAGCGCAAATCAGTCCTATCCAAGTTCTGATGATGTATGGAATGTTGATCGAAGTTTCGATTTGTATTAATGATTTGGTAGGATAAGGTAGAGGCCCAAGATCCGGCTTCAGTTCTACCTTTTTGAAAATAGTAAGGATGGATAGAGGCCCTATACAACGGCTTCAGTTCTATCCGGGAAGGTTACGAGTAATTGTGAATACTCTGATTTTGGTAACTTGGATAAGTTTTAGAGGTACTTGGTATATTTTGACTTTACTCACGACACACTCGACAACTCTGATGTTGCACTCTTAGTCTCTTTCTAAAATACCACCCAATACTACTTCTGACTCCCTTTTATAGCAGTAAAACTACTTCCGATTAGTCAATGTGACTCCCCTTCTTCAAAAATTCTTAATATATCGATTGATAGCTAACCCTTTTCCGATAATCAACATACCAAGTCGTACTCCGTTATTTGAATCTCCTTGAATGTCATCCGAGAAGATTCAGGCCTATCCGTTTATTTATCATCGTTCAATTTTAACAAGGTAAAATACAATATTTAATATTATTAGTGTAACGTTAATAATATGTTACATTAATGATTATATAATTAAATGATTATAATGTGTAGAAGAAATTAATGTGTTTTGCCATTTATAATTATAAGGAGTGGAACGTAACAATATGTATATCTTTTCGCCCGGTACTCTCTCCACTATCGGCGGTTTCACTAGCGGAGTCAGCGCCGCAAGTGTCGTTTCGGGCAACCTCAATTTTAACAGCTTTTCGGTGTCATACCTTATGTACAGAGATGGGACTCCTCTACTCTAATCTCAGAGATGAGTGGGGAGATGTACAACGCTCCGGTTTTAGGCGATACCAAAAGCATGGCGCTAAATCGTAGCGGCGAGTCCGGGAGTAGGATTTCGGGATCATCGCCTCTGTCGATGTTACAGATTTCGCGTAGCCGCCCGGGTCATGATCATCGTTCCAGTCGGTATTGCAGTCAGCGAAAATGAATAAATTGCTCGGTGGTGGGGAAAAAGTTGCCGCCCCTCACAAACCGTTCTTGACAAACAGGCGGGGCAGCAAGGTCTTCAGTCCAACCGAACCCTGAACCCTAAACGTTTGTATGGACGTAATGCGCAAACAAATGTGTATATTCAAATAAATTTCAGTTATAAAAAATGCATAGAAATATTGGTTTTCACTCTTTACCTCTTATCATGCCGAAAATGAACATTAAAAAATGAATGGCGAAATTCGTTGGTAAATGAAACGACCGAGAACAGTTCAAAGAGAAATTTTGAAATATCATAGATAAATATCTACAATAAATTTAATTTAGTATTAAACGAGCATCGTAGCTGAGTCAATAATCTGTCAAGGTTCCTCTCTTTGAACTTTTCTAAGTTACCCGAAGTTTATTTTATTCTCTTTTGTTCGCCCACGTGGAAAAGGGTGGCGCAAAAGTTCTTAACTGGAGTGCATCTTCATATTATTCTGCTTATATGTAATAAATATATGTTGAATAAACGATGAAATTGTAGAAATACAACTTCCGAAAAAAGTAAACCAAACAGATGTTTCTGGCGTCTGGCTAGTGCACCCGGTTACGAATCGCTAGGTCTATGGTTCGAGACCCCTTTATGGAGAGCATTTTTTTTACATAAAAAAAATATGCTTTTGCAAATGGGATTAACAGATTAAAGAGTATATCCAATTAATTTATTTATCTTATTACAATAAAGGCATAACAACGACAACCTGCGGGCTTCCACATCACCCAAGAGGTGCCGCAGTCGATGAGTTCCCATTATTTAACGTAGCGGGTCCCCAGTAGCCCTATACTACGATCGGCCTATACTATTTTTTAAGGTTCCTCTCTTTTAACTTTTCTAGGTTGCCCAAAGTTTATTTCAAGCTTATATAAAATATTTTTAAAAAAAGGTTGTCATCGGGATCGAACCCGCACTGTCTGAACTCCGAAGAGGCACACAAAACGCCGAAACGATCGAGAAAAGCTGCCAAAGAACTTGAAGCCTTTCTCGATCATTTTGGCATTTTTTTCTTACAATTTTTATTTACTAACATTGTCAGAAGAAAATAAAAAGTCACTCATGTAGTTCTTGACTTTCAATTTATTTGTGCTCCCTCGACATTTTTTGGAGGACAGTCTCAATTAAAATTTGGAAGGCTCGCTCATGAGGGGTGACTTCCTCTTGCCGTGGGCGGCGAGGAGAGCGGCTGCGGGTCCTCTCCCCCTGAGGCGCCCGCCCACGCCTCTGCTGATGTTGTTGCTGCTGCTACTGCTGCTGCTGCTGCTGTTGCTGTTGCTGTTGCTGCTGCTGGCCCCCCCTTCGCTTCCTCCAGCGCCAATTTTTTTTCGTCTTACCTTTAAAAAATTAAGAAAAAAATATACAACTAGAATATGAATAATTATGAACTTATCGATACATACCAGTTGTTGTCGGTGGTGGCGATGTAGGAGTCAGTGGCGGAGGTGTTGGCGGCGGAGGTGGCAGCGGCGGAGTTAGTGCTGGTCCCGGATCATTAACGAGCTCCATAGCAGTGCTATAACCATAAAATATATTAATATTATTGGCTACTGTTCTTAAATGATTTTCAGTAACCGATATAAATACATACGACTGGTCAGTAACAAGAACTGCTTTCAGCAGTTGGATCTCTTCTTCTAATGATGAATTAGACTGAAAAGGAAAATCATTTTCTATTATTTCACAATATTCTCTCTCGCAATATCGTTCATAGTAATAAAATAAACAAGAGACGTGTTGCGTCTTGTTTCCTTATAATTATTTCAGAGCTACTTACCATGATGCTGCTGCCTCTGGGACTGCGGACGATCTGACGCTGCAGGCCCCAATGTGTATTGCTAGTCGCGCGATAGTTAGCAACATTGTTGCAGACGCCCGTTCAGACTCGATCCGTCAGATTCCTAGACTGTTGTGTTGAAGTGGCCAGTACGTGATCTCGCTAGACCGAGATATTGGACGGGTTTAATTAATTTCTTAATTATTAAGAAGTGATTTAGTGAAAAATTGAACAGTAATGGATAAAAAGGAGCGCATTTACGATCGTTGTGCATATAAAGGTTGTACGAATGGGCGAATATCAACTGGATCGCATCTTTTTCGTTTTCCGCAGGCCGACGATCCTCGACATAATGTTTGGGTACAATATACAGGTAAATTGTTATACAGTTCAATTTTTTATTTTATAGTTTATTAGTACTAAATTGAGATGTAATATAATTGGCAGCCTTAATAAAAAGAGATTGAAAATGTTGGAAACGAAATATGTAAAAACCTGAAAGGGAAAATGCGAATAAATTACTAACGAATCATTTTTTAAGTTTAAGAATAATAAATAAAAATCATATAAATTAATTCAAAATAATTTATACAAAAACATTAGAATCGAAAACATTAGATCGTCTCCGGCGATAAAACCCGGACAGACCGAACCACATTCTGCGTTTGCACAATACCAACTTCAAAAAAAATTTAATTATTAAACTTTTGAATGTTTATACACTGTGACGTACTGGGCCTCGAAAAAGGGCCAAGGGTCTCGCAAATGCAGCTATCTCAAAACTACGGGAGAGGGGGAGGGAATCGAAGAAAGGGGACACGATGTAGAATAGAAAGAATATAATTAATAATGAAAATGCCAATACAAAGAAAAGAATAGAAACGAAAAAGATACTCAAACAGAAACTAGAAACCTAGGGTCCGTCATTTTATCGTCCGAAAGGTAGGGGGTTAGAGGAGGGGTACCGAGGTGAGCACTTAGGGGGAGGGGACCTCAGAAGGAGGGTGAATCTACTTCTGATATTATCGGGCCCCACGTTGGGCGCCAAAATTTGTGACGGACTGGGCCTCAAAAAAGGGCCCAGGGTCTCGCAAATGCAGCTATCGCAATACTAGGGGAGAGGGGGTAGGGGACTGAAGAAAGGGGACACGGTCTAGAATAAGAAAGAAAAGAAGATGTAATTGATAAAGCAAATGTCGGGGTACAAAAGAAACAGAAAATAACAGAAATCCAAAAATACGACACTAGCAAATGGTGTCACTCGAAATACGCAAAACTAAACTAGGCACGAAATCAAAGCAGTAACACGCGGGGCTCACGCAGGAGCACGCGTTGTCGTAAGGGACCTTTAAACGGGCTAGTGGGTGAGGGGACTCAGGGGACGAGGGAGTAGGGTATTGGCAAGGGGGCAGGAGGGACAGGAGGGAGAAAACAACAACTGGGCGCCAGCTACTTGTTCGGCGTAGCACCGTCGAGTGACCTCAGAAGGTCCTCGAATATTTACACAAACTTGAAATGGCACGGCTAGCAGGGGAAGAGGTGAGGGTGTCTCAGGGAAGAAGGTTCCCGAACGCAAAATGGCTTCTTACTAAATTACCTCGGTTTGAACGCAAAAGGGGAAAAGGGAAGGGAGAGGGCACGGGGGTTTTCCCAAAAAGGGGCGCAAAATAAAATGGGACGCACGCAATATACCACGGGCCTCGAGTTGGTGGGCGGAAGGCCCGTCGCAAGTACAATAATAGCTAGAAGGATGTCGGACCACGTGGGTCGACTCGCGGTGTCCTGAAGGGACTTACAAAATCTACAATGCTACCTCTAAGGGGGTGATAGGGAAGGGATGGCTAATAGGGAATGCTCAATCACTCAAAGTTACTCACTCAATTCGCTCGTCACACTATAATCCAAAAAGAAACTATCGGGCAATCTCACTATCACTCGCAATCTCAAATACAAAAAGAAACCACTATTCTCGCACACAATCGCTACTCGCTATTTCGTTAACGGCCTGGCTCGAAGTGAAGATCTCTTCGGTGTTTCCGGTCCTCGTTGTTTCCGTCACAGGCCTCCAGGGCCTCGGGGATTGGTGGGTCTGCCCAGCTGAGAGGGCTACGCGCTTTGGCATTGGTCGGCAGTTCCGGCATGGCAGGGCATTGGTCCTTTTCGAATTTGGTCGTCCGCCGGGCCTTCCAGGGCCTCATGGCGGCTGCACGGCGCTGGCTTTGCCGGCGCGCGTTCTGGCTGCGCGCGCCGGTCAATATGGCGGCCTCCAGGCCTGTCACAATCCTCCCGGGCACGTCTGCGGTCTCGGAGGGAGAGGGCTCCGCCGCTGTCACACGGGACGTTTTCCTGCCCGTGTGACGGGACTGCACCGGGGCTTCATCACTGTGGCGATGATGGCGGGCTGGCGGGCATCATCCCACAGGAGTCTCGATCATCTGTTGGTCCTCCTACCCATGCCATCCCTGCCTTCCGCTGCCTCGGCGACGTAGCCGCTCTCGCGGTCCATTCAGGGATGCTGTTCCCTCGTGGCAGGTCCACGTTGATGTCCTTCCTGCTGGTGTTGGCTGTGGGTCCTCGAAGATGGTCCCCGAGCCAGTACCCTACGGGGAAGGGTGACAGGGAGGGAAGGGTGCAGGGAGGGGGTCTTAACTCTAAATACACGAAGCCTAAAACACTAAATAAACGCAATTAACAATACTTAACTCTAAGACGCTATACTCGAGGCCTATGGGACCCCGAGCCAGGAGACGGGGAGGAGTTTATTGTAACATTTTTGTTACAACACATATATGCATACATAAGATAGAGAGAAGTTCAGGGAAGAAGTAGCCTTTTCCCCTGGTCCGGGAAACGTCTGTCACGAGTCGGAGAAGTCCCGTATAAGAGCGTCTCTCTCAGTCCTAGCGACGGTTCCTTATAAGACCCTCTCACTCGTTGTTAGTGGTAGCGCAGCAAGTCCCTGAAACACGCATAAGAGCATCTCGCTCACGCGCTTGCACCCTGCGTATACGAGCGTCTTCCTTCAATTCATAGTTTGTATCGGCACAAACTCCTTGACGGTGGACAAGGTATTGGTGGAAGCGAGAGAGCCGATTGTTTTGAGTGAGACGCTCTCGCTTCGTTACTCTTTCCCTATCTTCTCTCTGGGACACCGCTAATGTTCATATCTTTTCGTTGTTTTGGCGATGATTCTTATGAAATCACTAGTTTCTCTGATTATTTTCCCATCTTCCTTGAAAGGTTGGGAATTGTTTTCGAAATTATTCTCCCTTTCAAATTGATTAGACAATCTTTTATCATGTTTAAAATTTTTTTCTCATGAAAATAAAGATTCCTCTTTGAGGAAGTAAAAGAATTTGAAACGATCGAGAGAGGCTCAAAGTTTGTACTTGAGTCTTTCTTAGTCGTTTCAGCGTATGTGTAGCTATATCAAATAGTAATGTTTATTTGTTAAATCGATTACAGCCAATCCCCAATTGAAGAATTGGTCCGCCGCCTCTCTGCGTAATGCAGGCTTGTGCGCCTCACATTTTCGACCGAGCGACTTCCATGCAAATAGTAATGTTTATTTGTTGGAAGTAAAAGAATTTGAAACGATCGAGAGAGGCTCAAAGTTTGTACTTGAGTCTTTCTTAGTCGTTTCAGCGTATGTGTAGCTATATCAAATAGTAATGTTTATTTGTTAAATCGATTACAGCCAATCCCCAATTGAAGAATTGGTCCGCCGCCTCTCTGCGTAATGCAGGCTTGTGCGCCTCACATTTTCGACCGAGCGACTTCCATGCAAATGGCAAACTAAGATACGACGTTGTTCCTGTGCCTTTTTTTGCATCCGAGGAAGTTCAGCGCGGTGATGTAGCAGGTCCGAGTGACATGGTAAGTACACGTCCGATGCTTTCATCTTCTAGCGTACAGGTAGAGCAACGTGAGCCGCTTAAAGATTCCGAAGATTCGATCAGTGTTGCGATAACAACCTCTAAATCAACCGAAGGAGTCAGTAGACGTAGAAGAAATGGACTTGTCTTTTAATACGCAGATGACGTCGACGACGCGCACATATAATAGCCGTGCACAACTGTCATTTGTAGAGTCAGATGATGAATCGATAACTTGGACTGCTATCGAGCCGAATTTCGCAAAAACGTCAATAGCAAATACACAAATGACAGTTAAACAAAAGCGGAATAATCGAAATTTAGATCGCTCGAATGCCGCTTTAGTGCTACAACTTGCGCAGTACCGCAAACGGCTCAGGCTACTGAACGTACGGCTAAAACGAGCTTTAAACCGTAACGCAATTTTAGTAAAAAAATGCGAGAAGAAAACGGTAGATAAATTTCTAGATGAGAGGAATTGTACGGAGCCCGCAGCACGAGCGATGGTGAAACTGCAGTTGCACCGTAAGAACGCCCCGTATGCAGATGATGAAAAAGATTTATCAAAACAGCTTTTTTATTATTCTGCAACAGCGTATAAACGGTTGCAAAAAGCAGGGTGCAATTTCCCCTCCGCGAATACCGTACGATCGTGGATATCGGAGATTGATATAAACCCTGGATTTTGTCCCGATATCTTCGACAAATTAAAGATAAACCTGGAACAGTTGCCGCCTGCAGAAAGAATCTGCTGCCTCAAATGGGACGAGATTTCAATAAAGAAGTTCGAAGAATATTCGGTGAAGTACGATTTCATTGAAGGACTCGTGGATCTTGGTTCGCTCGGCCGTCGCAGCGAGCGAGCTCGCTTCGTGTTCGTGTTCTGCTTGGATAGCTTAAATGCAAGAAATCCATGGCGACAACTCATTGCTTACTTCTTGACAGGAAATGGAATGCAGGCGACAGACATGCATGATCTTCTCAAGCAATGCCTAGCTAGACTTGATGGAGTCGGAGCGAACGTTGTCCTGACAACGTGTGATCAAGGATCATCTAATCAATCGCTCTATTCATCGATACTTGGCGTGACCGATTTGGCAACTCCACCTTTCCATTACGCAGGACGAGAGTACTTCGC